GAAAACGTGTGAGGATGTGGTAGCTGCACATTTGTATAATCATATTTGCAATAGAGTTTGCAAAGGACACTTTGGCACTAAATGCAATATTATTATAGTGAGTTTTTTCTGATCTTGTAGTTTTAAAAGGCTGATGAAATGTGAAAAAGCTAAAATGAGGAAACCCAGAGACTCAGGCAAGGAATTGATTTCTGAATAGACGGTGCTTAGGATGCTCTCTTTTAATTCCCAAGGCCCAGGTCTCTACACAATGGTAATGTGATAAATGAAAGCTCTGAATGTTTACAAGCTTACAATTAGGGCTCATAAGCACCAAATACCATTTTAATTCTGTGCATTGAACCTTAGCTAAATACATTTCCAATTGGGAATGGATGGCAACGGCTTCCTTTGCTGGCCTAATAATTGCCACTGTAATGGTAAGCACTGAGTCTCTGCAGCAGGTTTGAATGGGAGGCAGCATCTGTGTTAGCAGGTGATGAATTCATTGCTCGTAGTGGCTGCTGTGTGCACTCCCCTGTTTCAGATATTCCTTAATTCTGGTGCTTTCAGAGCATTTGGAGAACACAGAAGTCTTGGGCTGTGATGAAAACCAGCCCAACTCCTAAATCCCGACACTGTGGAAACAGGCCTAGGCAGCTTAGCTGCAAAATGAGGTGACTAGGAGAGATTTATCTCACTGCAAATACCAGGGCACACCTGCAGCTATATGAGCCAGGAACTTGGCCTTCCTTTCCAAGCTGAGAATGTGCCCTAGAAATGCCTTTATAGGGCTAAAAGCAGAGATAGAAGGAACCACCTCATTTAACTCATGAAGCACATTATCTCTTTGGGATGTACAAACCTTCAAGCTGATGCATCCGGGGAGACTGGGAGTATGTGACAGATGATATCAGGTATGTGCTATGTGATCTAAATGAAGGGAAAAGGGGAAAATGCTCCAGAAAAGGAACTGCTTGCCAAGAGGAAAATGCTGTGTGTGTCCGTGCTAACTGGCTTCCCGCACCTCCTTTTGCATTGGGCTGGCTGAAAGGAGTTTTTCTCTGGACACGGGTATTTTACACTTCATCTGCCACCAGATAAAAATAATAATAGAAATGGGAACAGTGTAATTGTGCTGCCTTCTCCCATTCCTCCCTGTGTAAGGCATGACCTTGCAGCTGCAAATAAGGAAGCTGTCACCCCAAGGCGAGTGCTTGGAAGGTCCCTTTTTCACTGCTGGGCAGAGAGGCAGCAGCTCTTGCAAAGGCAGAAAACACAGATGGTCCAGGTTACTTCTGATGGAAGCTAATGGGGTGACTAAAGAGGTGCCAAAAGTCTAATGTACATGTGCAGACATCTTAAACCAATTCCAGCACACCATTCCAAGCTGTTCTGGCCCAAAAGAAACCTTACTTCTCAGGGTCCGAAGTCCCAAATGGAAGTCCTTGCTCTTGGTGAAGTTCTACCTTGTCACGTAAGTTTTGTACAGCTGTAAAAACGTAACTGTGTAAAATATATGTGTTGTACTTAGCAATTTTGACTTTAAAAGAGAAATGTGCACTCAGAGGGCTAGGCATCATCACTCTCTTTCATGCTTGGCGCTGTTAAGCTGGGCATCCACAGGTTTTTGGGGCTTTCTTTGGAGCAACAAAGTAAGGTTTGCATGGAGCACAGGTTTCTCAGTGACTCTCAGCATGGTGCTGAGTGTCATTCAATCAGGATAAAATACAGCTCACAAGACGTTGACTCAACACTTAAATGGAATAGCTCCCATGTCCCTCACATGGACAAGCTCTCTGCCCCCATCCTGGGTTTGCT